AAAAAAAAGTATACATGATGAGAAAAACACACAACAGAGACATACAGTGAAAATTCATATTTCTTTCCCTGGCCCCTTCAGTGCTGCTCCCCTGGGACCTCTGTCACCAGATGTTCGGTGCCTGGTCATGCGCATCTGCACTCCTCTTTGTTTAGTCCTGTGGTGGGGTACTAATTACACTGTTCTGCACTTACTGATTTTTACTCTAAAATGTATCCCCAGATTGCTTGATTTTAGCACGCACAGTTTAGTCCATCCCTTTAAACAGCAGCATGTTATTTCACTGAATAGTAGGTGCACCATGATTCCCTTTCCCAGCCCCCATGAGGGACTTTGACGTTGCTTTTAGTATTTTGTTTCTACAGGCCAACTTTCAGGGATATATTGTACATATTCTAGGTCTGTGATATAGATGGTTAGATGTGGGGTTGAGGCATCCGGTGCCCACAGGAAAAGAAACATGTTGCTATGAGTCCCAAGAGGGGGAATGAAAGTTTCTGAGGTTTTCTTCCTTTGGAAGGACCTTGTACTACTGTAGTCAGAAACAGCTAGTGCTGGAGGGACTTCAGGGAGGGAGTGGGGTTACCGTCCATCTTTGGTTCAGCTCCAGCCAGTCTGTCTCCACAAGCTTCACGTTTACAGTCCTTGGTGGTGCCCTGTGGCTATGAGGCTTATGTGGCTAGAAACCATTTCAGAGGTTGGTTTGAGGATCAGGCCTCTCACCCTGGCCTCCCTGGCCCTTGGCTCTTCTGAGATCCCTCACATCCTGGCTGCTTCAGGCTGCTTTGGGCTTGATTGCCACCTGTGATTTGAAAAGCTTGTGCAAAAGGCACCAGGGTATATGGCTCAGCGCTTATAGCTCAGTGGCTAGGGTGCTAGCCACATATATTGGGGCTAGCGGGTTCGAACCCAGCCCGGACCTGCCAAATGACAATGACAACTACAACCAAAAAATAGCCGAGCATTGTGGCAGGTGCCTGTAGTTCCAGCTACTTGGGAGGCTGAGGTAAGACAATCACTTATAAGCCCAAGAGTTTGTGGTTGCTGTAAGCTTTGACATCATGGTACTCTACCACAGGACAGTAAAGTGAGACTCTGTCTCCAAAAAAGAAAAAAAAAAAGGCACCAGGATGTACATGACAGAAGGGTAGCTTCTCTTCAGAGCAGGAGCAATGGATAAGGGCAGATGATTTTTTTTCCTTCCTAGGGCTGGTTAGGGGAAGGAACATTGAGAGATGGCACAGGTTGGAGCCATCTTCTCCATATTGAGAGGTCTCTTGATTTTTTCCCATTCCGTGTATAGCTATGGCTGCTTCAACCTAGGTCGAAGGTAGGAAGCAGGGAGATGTTAGGGCTGGCTGGCAGATAGCTCCCCAAGTAGACCCTGGCCTGGTGGGTTTGAGGCTGGTGTCTCTGCCATGGCCCTCTCATCCTTGCTTGTGGAGAACTTCTCACCACTGCAGTTACACGTAGTCCCTGTGAGAAGCCCAGAGCTTCCCATGCCCACAGCTCTGTTGTCTGGGGCTTGGGCCCATGGTAGCACAGAGGTTTCTATTGTAGCTTGGTGGCTGTGAGGACTGACCTGTGGGGCTGAGGAGGTGGGGCTGAGGAGGTGGGGCCTGGGAACTGACAGTGGAGCTATTCATGGGCTCTGTCCTCGTTTGCTGCTGCCTCCCATTGTGGATTTTTGGGGGAGGGACTGGAAGGGGAGGAGGAGAGGGGGTGAGGGCTAGAGAGGATGGCCCCTTCACTATTGTTGCTGGCAGCAGGAGCCTATTATGCTTAATAGAGGTCCATTTCTAGACAGCCCTGAGCCTCTCTGGGGCCCCTCAGTGTTCTCAGATTCTGGGCCCTGCCCTTTGCGAGTATCTCTGATAAGCTCTCCTTCCTCCCTCTCAGGTCCCTATGCTGTGCCTGAAACCCTCCTGGGGTTCTGAGCAGCTGGGCAAAGAGTAGGAGTACCCAGTGCTGGGCTTGTTGGCCACCTGCCCAGTACCTTGGTGAGTATGTTATGCCGGAGCCCAGCTGCACCCTTGGGTGGTGGCCAGGCATGTGCCTGGGTTGTGTGTTAGTCTCACAGGCCGCCCACTTTCCTTTGTGGCTCAGTACTGAGCCCAGTGTCCCTGGTTCTTCATTGGAGCACCCAGCTGCTGAAAAGCCTGCTTGCTGGCAGCATGGCCTGCAGCCACCCCCACTGCCTGAGCCACAGCCATTTTCCTTTGTTTTGCCATCTATAGGCTCTTGACTCTCAGGCGGGCAGCAGGCAGTGGCAGTGGGTGCACACCACCAGCCGAAGCCTGGATGACATGAATCGGCCCCTGGTCCTATACCCAGTGCCTCCAGCCCCACCCTCTGTCCCAGTGATGCTGAGGTTTTCTTTGGTTTGGATAGAGTCTCGCCTCTTCCTGGATCAGAATTTTAGTGACTCCTATAAAAAGAAAACAAAACTTCTTGACCTTCCAAATTTATTATGCCAAGCAGAAAAGTTAAGCCCTGGAAATTGAGTTAGGTAAAACCTTTGTTTTCCTTCTGTGATGCATGACCATCTTCTGACCTTTGTGTTGAGATGTTATACATTAACTAGACTCCCTATTCTTTATTCAAACCTTGACTAAGACATTGGAGATAGAGACCCTTGTGATTATTACCTCTTTACAATAAGTTGTTAAGTGAGCCCCATAGAGTATAATCAATAGTAGTCAATCAAATCTTATACCAGTACTAAAGCCTCTGTATAGAAAATGTTATAATTCTGTTCAACACTTCTGTTTTTGCCTATATAAATGATCTTTACTTTTCCCACACCAGAAGCATTGATTACCATTCTCTGGTGTCCCATTGTCGTCACACTGTGTGAGAGACTGGAGGAAAGGAGGCAAGGAGGGAGGGGAGGGAGGGAGAGAGAGGTAGAGGGAAGGAGAGAGAGAGAGTGAGTGAGAGAGAGAGAAGGAGAGGGAGAAGAAAGCTCACCAGCACATACATGAGCATCTCTTGGTCCTTGGCAGCAAAAGACACTCTGAGACACAAGTTTGATTGTCCTTTTCTTCCTGGTCTCACTGAAATCAGTGGCAAGGGGGTTGAGGAAAGTTGTTTTTTAGTTTGGTCTGTATGGTTTTGAATATTTCTCTAACCAAAGGGAACTGTCCCGTTCACCTTCTTAACCTGAATCTCTCTC